AGGAAGAATTCTCATGAAATCTCAATGAAAAAGCCTTATGAAAAATGATCACTTTTCCTGACAAGTTATTTATCATCATGCAACTCCTCTGCACTGCACACTCAAATCTGTTTCCCCTGCTACTTTCATGAACTTCACAAGACACTGTAAAGAAACCAACAGACTCACAGAACACAAACAGAATGGACAGAAAAGGGAAAGCTTAAACCACACAGCCAAAATTTTTAAAAGAACATGAATTCAAAAAAATTCAGAATGAATTACAAATAGGTGAATCTCTATTCGAAGCCAAGAATCTACTTGATGAAAAAAATGTCACTTCATCCCCAACGAAGCAGGCAAAATACTTTACAAAATTACCACGGACATAAAACTTTTAAAACAAGCACAATGAGATTCTTTCAGAAGTAAAAATAATGTTAAAATAACTCAATATTATTCACTTAATGTTCAGAAACACTTTAATCATTTTAAAAAGACACCGGAAAGCTTGTTAACCTAAAAATTGGCTTTCTTTGGAATTATTCTTATACTAAAGTTTTCTTTCCAATTCTATCTTCATAATTATAGAATCCTAAAGCTAAGAGGGACCTCAAGAGGTCATCTGGTCAATCCCCATCCACTGTGACTCTCGAGTAGTCTCATATACAGGAACTATGTGATGCCTTAGTAAAAGCAATTGTTGCTATCTTTGAAATGCTTTTAGGTTGAATATACAACTGCTGTTCTTATAAGGATCTGTATCTGAATTTTATTTTCTGTATTGGTTAAGTTAAAAATATTAAGACTTCCTGGCTACTTAATTCAGGTACTCAATCTGGGTTTTAAAAAACAAATAAGTAATGGATACTGGGTGGTTCACTAGTAAGAAACTATATATACATTATAGCAAATGGAGAATGATATATTTCTTTTAAATTTCCTACTTTAAAATATTTTCAACTGTCATTAAAAGTGTGCTCTGAAAGAATATTTAATGGCACGGGAAGCTATGATATGAGAAGTGAAAAACCCAAGGACAAAAGACACATGCACATTTTAAACACCTTTTCCTATAGGCTCGTAAGGGAGAGAAGTAAATAGGACCTTTAGGGGATTTTTGTTTTTGTTTGTTTGTATTTTAATATGTTGTCTGGCCCAATTCACCAGCAAGAGAACAGAAAATGATTATAGACAATGTTTTAGCTCTTTATATATCCTAGACATTAAGCCCTTGTCAGATACATAGTTTGCAAATATTTCCTCCCATTCCATAGGCTGTCTTTTCACTCTGTTGATTGTTTTCTTTGCTGTGCAAAAGCTTTTTAGTTAGATATAATCCCACTTGTCTACTTTTGCTTTTATTGTGTGTGCTTTCAAGGTCTTCAACCTCTGAATAAAAACTGTTTCTTCAATAATAAAGTAAAATTTGAATCTTTTGACTGCAGTATAGTAAGTGTAATAAGGAATCCTATCAGTCACATGACATGTATTGGGAATGTGGCTTTCCAAAAGAAGAAACGGGAGAAATACTCTACCGACATCTGCTACAACAGGGATTGGCAAAGTTTTTCTGTAATAGGTTCTCATAAAATATTTTAGGCTTTGTGGATCCTATGGTCTCTGTTGGGACTACTCAATTTTTGCCTTGTAGCATGAAAGCAGCCATAGACAAATACATAAACAAATGAGTGTGCCTGAGTTCCAACAAAAATTTGTTTACACAAAGGGACAGAAGAATGAATTTAGCATGAAGGTTTGAGTTGCCAACCCTCGCACTATAAAATAAGCACAATAAAGACAAGAATCTTCTGTTTTGTTCTACTATTTTACAAAAAGCACCTAGAACAGTGCCTGAAAAATAGCAGGCACTCAGTAAATATTTGTAGAATAAATTATTTTTTTAACAGAAAAACAAAAAAGAAATCCATACTTCTATTAAATCTCTATTACATTTAACTTATATTTCTAGAAAAGAGAGAGGCTACTACAGAAGTACTCAACTTACATGTAACTTATATCCAAAAGGTGATCTGCAAATCAAGATTAAACTATGAAACACGGTGAAGCAAGTCTCCAAAAGAATCCATCTTAACTCAACTACTGTTTTAAAGGAACATAGCAGGAAATCTTCATGTAAGAAAAAGAAAATGAGTTCCAAATTCAAATTGGAGCCTCTAGAAAATTTCTTCTCCCAGAGTAATTCCATTAACAAGAAGGCCGCACTCACCACTTGTCCCACAGGAGCTGAGAAGCCCACCAGAGGAGCTCTCAGGGCAGAATCTAATGGTTGCCACAACCAATTATAGGGACTACAATGGCAGAGGACTGAAGGTCAGGAAGAGAAATATTCATATGAACAAATAAAAACCCTCTACAAACAAATAAGCATTTTCTAGGGCAGCTGGGAAGAAAATAATTTTTTTTTTTAAGTTGTGGAATGAGTTACTTCACCTTTAGACACTTGGCCAAATGGTTTCTTTTAAACTAAGATATGGAAAATAATGAAGATTCTGAACACTATGGTAATTTCTTATACTAGAAAAAAAATTGGTACTTACAGACTTCCTGATATCTTTAGAGGAGAGATCAATTAACTTCTTGTTCATAGACCACTCTTCATCAGATTCCATTATGGCTTTCTAAGAAATAGCCATTTGTCAAATGAAAAAGTAATATATAAGCAAATACAAAGAGACCATTTAAAACAAAGTAATACAGCGAATTAATTACAGGGTATATTATACATGGTAGGCCATTATTCTGAATGAATTACGGCTTTAATTTTAGTTATTTAAAATTGGAACTTCTTAATTTTGTAAAGTACTATCTTTAGCCAAAGACAATGTTCTTTTTTATTTATTTATTTATTTTAATTGACACATTGTAATCATACATGCTTAGGGGTATATTGTGATGTTTTGATACATATGTATGTTGTGTAAGATGGGCCAGGATAGTTAATGTAACCATCACCTCATGCATTTATCATTTCCTTGTGGCAAAAACATTCAAAAGCCTCTCCTTTAGCTATTATGTAATATACAAAACTTAACTGTTAATCAGTCACCCTACTGTACAACAGAACATCACAACTTATTCCTCCTATCTAATTGTAATTTCGCTCTGGTTGGCCAGCCTCTCCATGTCTTCCCTTCCCACCTTCCCTCCCCAGTCTCTGGTAACCACTGTTCTGCTCTCACCAAAGACAATATTCTTTTACTCATTCTTAACTCACAACTCTTGGTCAACATTACAACACAAAAACAACCCTTAATAAGACTGAGCAACTTAATAGTGAACATAATTTGTGAACATAAAAGTTCACAAATTCCTCACTGCATTCACTAAAATCTACTCAAGTAAATTCATTTAGTTTTACTGCTCTTCTTCCAAATATCAAGAGAGTAATTCATATGCTTTCTGGCAACCAAGGACTTGAACTATTTCTGCCCATATTATAAAGAAGTAAAAATGTAGGGAATACCTTATAACAGTCTATTTCAAGCTGATGTCAACTTAACTGTGATTTATATACAACTCTACACATTTTATGTTTTTGATGGCAGAATTTATACAGTTGTAATTTGTCAATTTGTAATTAAAAATATTTTTTTTTTAAATGCAGGGAAAGAAAAGTACACAGAAATGGGATTCAAAGACTTCCTAGGCTAAGCAGTATGACTACTATTTTTGATAAAAGAAATATTTAATAAAAAGAAAAGCTAGGATGATTAATATAAAATTACCTCATTTTTTTACAGTATCATTATTAATGAAGCAAATTTTAAAGATGACATTAACATTGAAATAAGTACAACTGAAATACATCAGATATACTGCTATCCCCTGTTTAAAAGGTATCAGTTGCTTGGCTTGACATTAAAATATAGCATATTCAATATAAAATTGANGCAAATACAAAGAGACCATTTAAAACAAAGTAATACAGCGAATTAATTACAGGGTATATTATACATGGTAGGCCATTATTCTGAATGAATTACGGCTTTAATTTTAGTTATTTAAAATTGGAACTTCTTAATTTTGTAAAGTACTATCTTTAGCCAAAGACAATGTTCTTTTTTATTTATTTATTTATTTTAATTGACACATTGTAATCATACATGCTTAGGGGTACATCGTGATTTTTTTTTTTTTGTCCTTTTTGAGGCCAGCTGCACCGCGCTCAGCCAGTAAGCGCACCAGCCATCCCTATATAGGATCCGAACCGGCGGCTGAGCGCTCCTGCGCTCCCAGCGCTGCACTCTCCCGAGTGCGCCACAGGCTCAGCCCTATATTGTGATGTTTTGATACATATGTATGGTGTGTAACGATGGGCCAGGATAGTTAATATAACCATCACCTCATGCATTTATCATTTCCTTGTGGCAAAAACATTCAAAAGCCTCTCCTTTAGCTATTACATAATATACAAAACTTAACTGTTAATCATAGTCACCCTACTGTACAACAGAACATCAGAACTTATTCCTCCTATCTAATTGTAATTTCACTCTGGTTGGCCAGCCTCTCTATGTCTTCCCTTCCCACCTTCCATCCCCAGTCTCTGGTAACCACTGTTCTACTCTCACCAAAGACAATATTCTTTTACTCATTCTTAACTCACAACTCTTGGTCAATTTTACAACACAAAAACAATCCTTAATAAGACTGAGCAACTTAATAGTGAACATAATTTGTGAACATAAAAGTTCACAAATTCTTCACTGCATTCACTAAAATCTACTCAAATAAATTCGTTTAGTTTTACTGCTCTTCTTCCAAATATCAACAGAGTAATTCATATGCTTTCTGGCAACC